TTTTTGGATGGATGCTCTCAGGAGTATGTCGCTCTTAAATTCCATTTCTGATTTTTTTAAACATGAATTTTTAACTGAATTTCGAAATTTTTTGTCAATAAATGTGCTCTGAAATATGCAACCATACCTTTTTATTAGTATTTTTTCATTTTATTCTTTCATTAGCTAGGAAACTAAGACGTGGACCACCGGAACTTGGAGGCATCCTTCCACTGGAAACAATAATCTTTTTTTTCAAATGAATTGTTATTTTACATATATTTAGACTGGTTTTTTCTACTTCTTAGTACTTAGTCCGGCGTGGTGGCTGAAGCGCTCGACCGATGTTTCTGATAGCAAGGGGCCGGCATGTTTAGGTCTACATGCAAAACCAAATGATTTAAAGGTCGAACCACCCTAATGTAAAAGTGCATTGACTTGAGCCGAGCACACAAACATACTCAGGCATATATAATATATGATAATTTAATATAATTTCGTTAAGTTTCCCCTCCGAGCAGTTGGCTGCCGGCGGGTAAACTTAACTTTGTCAAAGCGGGACTTTTTCACTTTATTCGAGCTATCAAGGAGACCGGCCGACTTCAGCCATCACCCAGCGATACATATTCAAAGGTAATCATATTGTACACCCACTGAGTTATTCGATAATAAACCCAATTGAAATCATAGCTATTATCTACTAATACACTTGGTTGTGTTTCATTTCATTTTCTTTTTTTCAATTAACATTGGTGCTACTGCGGGAGTTGCGACCCACTGGTTCACCGATCGTTCACCGTGATTACTGTAGTGAGTTTGAGGATAAATAAAGAACGCGACTGCTTCTTTTAAATTCATACAATTATTCTGTAATCACGTTATTAAGCGATTACAAATTAGAGGAATTTCAAAATTTTAAGTTGGGAAGCGGCAGTCTGGCTGTTAACAAGTCTAAGTTAGAAGTGATAGGTGGCCTATTACATACCTACTAGGCAATCTGTCCAAAGAAGATAATTCACAATAGTTCATTTAAAATTTTGTAGTATAAGAGTTACAATAATTCAATAAACATAAAGGGGGTACCAGAACTGCCGTGCTTCGTCAATTACACTACTTCAAAAAAATACAACTTTAAACCTAAGCCACGTTGAGGTCCATGTCCTCGACATGCCGGCGGGCCTGCGGAGTGGGGAGCAGCAACAACTCCTGGAGCTTCTCCCACGTTGCCAACGCCTTGGTCATTAACCTTTTCATCAGTTTCGTGCGATCGATTCTGCTTTTTCGTATACCTCTTTGCTGAGGTTTATATTTAACTTTACCTCGCTTGCGCCTCGGTAGCGGCAAAAAGGTCCGGTGGAGCAGGGTGTGATGTGCCAGTCCACAATGACGACAACTGCCTCGAGAGTAGCACGAACTCGTGGCATGAGAGGTAGGCAAGCAGTTTCGGCAATAGTGGTGTACGCACGTTAATTCCAACAGGTCGTTTGGCGACATATCCAAGAAGGCTCTGCAGACCTGCAAAGAGTGCTTGTGACCAGGGTTTGGAAATATTCACTCACCTTCGTACGCGAACGCGAACATGAACGTATCAAATATTCTCTATTGATTCTCCTTCGCGAACGAAAAGCATAAAACAAGTCCAGATCGTTCGCGTTCGCTAATGTTAGGTAGATCAAATAGCGTGCGTTCATATATGTAGCTATAAGTAGCACCGATGCCTTCGCGAACGTTCACTGCTGTCGTTCTCGTTCATAAGTGAATGTAAATGCTGCGGCAAATATTCGCGGAAAGTTGGTGTGGCTAGAGATACTATTCTATGCGAAAGCAATTTTGTTAATTGCATAAGATTTGCATCGTTCATTCGACTTTCAAATATGAGGTGTCAAATGAAAGAGTTTGGACTCTAGACGTGCAGTAAGGATATATTTTTTAAATAGGGTTGCCACGTGCGTTTAAAATTATAATATTTACACAGTTCTCCCGATTTTCAAAAATGAGGTGCCAAATGAAAGGGCTTGGCCTCTGGATGTGCAGTGAGGATATGTTTTTTTTAATAGGGTTGCCACCTGAGTTTAAAATTATGATACCGTTTGCAATTTGCGAAACCTACATGGTTCCTATAAGAAAGCTCGTCAATACATTAATAATACAATTGAAATACCACTATTTGTTTTTAAACTTTAAGTTTATTTTAAAGAAATTCCTTTGTTTTCGAACACTAGAAAATAATAACTAGATACAGTCCCCTACAAAATGATAAATAAAATCCACACAAATCCAAACTTCAAACTTAATACAAAAATTACAAAAAGCTACACATTTTTCATCCAATCCCAAGGTTTTTAATTATAATTTGTAGAAAAATTTCTGGTATGCAGTTTTATAGGTTATTAAATTTTAATAAATAACGCGCATCGCTAAAAATCCCGTTGATTTTTTATAATTTTTTTAGCTGGCAGTTTTATGTTAGAAGGAAATATGTTATACCGTGTTAATAAAATTTAGCAAGCTATAAGACTGCGTACCAGAAATTTTTCTACAAATTATAATTAAAAACCTTGGGATTGTGATGAAAAATTTTTGGCTTTTTTCATTTTTGTATAAGGTCGAAATTTGTATTCGTGTGTTTTTTGTTAGACAATGTCCTTTAGAAAAATAATGAACATTAAACAAACATACGCAAAATAGTTAAAACTCGTTTGTCGCGGGCTGTAGCTACACCTATGTACATACGTTTATGAATTATATATGTAAACATTGTATATGCATATTAAAGAATTAAATAAAACTAATGAACAGAAGACAAAATGAGAAAAATCATAAATTAAGTATTTGTATTATACTATACGGATGCCATCCGCACCGATCAATCCTTCACACTTGTTATTATGACAGTGCGGATCGGAGTAGATCTGTGCGGATGGCGTCCGGAAGGAAAAGGCATGTACATATCGTCGCTCTTATGCCAGAAAAGTGAAAGTGTAAAAATGAAAATTTTGGGAAATCAAGTTTGAAAGTTTGTTTTTACTAGACTTAACTCAACATATACGCGTTTGAAATTGTAAAATATATGCTTTTCGTGTACGCATGGTATTCTGGGTTTTGGTATAACTTAGAACATCGAAAAGTCAACCCAATAGCTCAAAACTGATAAATTTGCACATTCATGCTTCTGGCATGAGGGTGACAATATATAAAATATATTTGTGATGACTCTTTAAACTGTTATAACAAAAACATTTGCATAGTTATTGGACGGCTTCTTTGGTTTTTTTGCCGTTTTCCTTAATGTAAACATCGTTACACAAAGTTAGCATTATTTGTAAAGCGCAATTAGGCAATTTGGTACATATTATGCTTGTCGAATGTACGTTAATGCTATCGACTATCATATATCGACACCTGAGTGGAAGATCGACCTACACTCGCTCCACTATATCTGCGTTCACCCTTATTTTTTTTTAGATATTCACAATGTTTTGCAAGCTATATTTTTTTTGTTATTTTTGTACCAAAATATGGTTCATGCTATAATAATAATAATAATAGATTGGCGCTTACACATATGTTAGTGTTTGGCCGAGCTTCTCCTCCGACTTGTGGCGTGCGCCTTGAAGTTGTCACACAAAGCGGAGGGACCTACAGTTTTACGCCCCCCTCCGAAATCATCTGCGACCCTGTTCACAACCTGGACGAAGGAGGTCAGGCTACCGCTGGGAATTCACGTCGATGGCACACCAATTCCGACGGTGAATAACCCCAAAATACTCGGAGTAACATTCGGCAGCCTGCTCTCCTTCTCTGCGCACGCAACCGCTATTGTCAATAAAGTACAGAGCCGCAACAAGGTCCTCAAGTCGCTAGCCGGCAGTACTTGGGGCAAAGACAAAGAAACGTTGCTGGCAACATACAAGGCAATAGGCCGGCCGGTTTTAAACTACGCAGCGCCAGTGTGGTCGCCGGGGACTAGTAGGACGCAGTGGACGAAGCTACAGACTGTACAGAGACGCAAATGCTCCCCGTAAAGGAGCACAACATAATGCTCTGCAAGCAGTTCCTCATCGGGAGCCACAGAAGTGGCCACCCAAACAGACAGCTGCTTGCAGAGGAGCCCTCGCCTACGCACGGCAGGAGGCATCTATATGAAGTGACGGACGAAGTCCAGAGGTTCATCAAGCAACCTCTACCTCTGGCCCCGTCAGCTTACCGACTGGCCCTGAACGGCATTCAAAGGGAGTCAGTCTCGAGTTATGTAGACTCTAGACCTGTGAATGCCGTTCTAGGCATACCGCCCCCGGACATAGACGAGACGGAGCTTCATCTGCCTCGGGAGACACGAACGACAATAGCCCAACATCGCTCTGGCTACTGCAGCAGGTTAAACTCCTACCTGAGTAGACTGAACGAGGATGTGCCAAACGAGTGTCCAGCATGCGGAGAGGCCCCACATGACTCGAAACATCTCTTCGCATGCCCGGAAAACCCGACAACCCTAACGGCCTTGTCCCTGTGGACCAACCCTACAGAAGCTGCACGCTTTCTAGGGCTGCCGTTAGTGGAACTTGACGACAACGACTGAGATACCAACCGTCCTGGGCGGGGTTGTTGTAGCCGCTACAACAACAACAACAACAACAACAGTTTTACGCCGACTCCGAACGGCGATTGTATTTTTTTTTTATGAGAAGCTGTTTTTTATGGTAGAAATACACTCGGAGGTTTGCCATTGCCAGCCGAGGGTCGACCGCTGTTAAGATAAAACCTTTTTCTATGTTTTTTTTGCGATGTTGCTTTGACCAGGGCTTGAACCCAGGTGCTGATGAGTGAAAGCGCGCACTGCTTACCACTACACCACAGCGGCCGCCTATGCTATAAACAAAACCATATAAATCAAAGTTTTAAACTGTATACA